CCCCCTGAGCTATGCCGATAGTGCTGTGTTCGGGGGTGAATAGGAGTTTTTTTTCTCAAAAATATATGCCGAAATGACACTATTCTGTTACAGTGCTGACTTCTATCACATTTGCTCATTTTGTTTTTTGGCGAATATTTTTGTTATTTTTAGTAAAAAAAATATTTTTGACTTTCTCAAACACTACTGTCTCAGTTGCTTTGATACTTGATATGTGGGTGCCTTGGGTCACAGTCAGCTGGTGCACGCGTATTAATAAAATATATATTTACTACTAGTACATCTTGAATGCGGCATAAAACTAAATAAAAGATAATTGTGAAACCCGTTTTTCAGAGTCCTAAAAATTGAAACAAAAATACCAATCTTTCACAAAAATATGATCCTTTGGGATTATATTAAGCCAACCAATAAAAAAATTTGGCCAAATTTGTCGTTTTTGTGTGGAAAAATCCCTTAAATATGAACACCTAATTACAGGAAGAACATAGAACACTTTCCTAGGGTATTTGAAACCAAAAATTGTCTTTCCAGCTCAGCAGCCAATCAGCGACGGTCTTGACAATTTTGGTTTCAAATACCCGGCTTAGTTTTGAGAAAGACACTTTACAAGAAGAACAGAACTATTTCAATCGTAAAGTCGCTTGTTTTGTGAATCAAACTCTGAAGGGTAGAACTACACTTTATTTCTCTACTGTATTTATAGATATCTGTATATATTTGTCTGTTCTACCAATATCTCAAGAACCAATCATTAGAATTCAATGAGTCTTTGTGATAATGCACAGATCAGATAAGAATTAAGTGGAAATTTGTGCCTTTTACTACCGGTAATATATAATACCGGAAGTGTTATAATGTGTGGTACAGGTAATGTGTGTACAGATAATATACAGGTAGTGTGTGCAGATAATGTACAGGTAGTGTGTGCAGATAATGTACAGGTAATATGTGGTACAGGGAATGAAATTCCATGCTTTTTGGCAAAAACCGTTGAGCGACAGGCAATTGACCCATTTTTAGCTCCGCTGTTGACTTTGTCGAGTGGAGCTTATCATGTCAGTGATTGTCCGTCGTCATCCGTGTCAATGTTTTACTTTTCCGACTTCTTGAAAACTATAAGTCTGAATGCTTTGATACTTGGTGTATATGTACCTTGGGTAAACCTCTCTTAGATTTGTTCATTTCATGATGATATCTTTAATTCCCTAATTTTGAGGAATATTTTTGTAATTTTTGGTAAAAAGTGATATTTTCGACTTCTTGTTAAAAACCGCAAGTCCGATTGCTTTGATATTACATATCTAGGTACTACATGTGGACCTCTTCAATTATCTAATTTTGATGATTATTTTTGTCATTTTTGGTGAAAAGTGATATATATTTTAATTCTTGTTAAAAACAGCAAGTCTACATATTGTTCATTTTCTAATGATATCTTCTGTTCTTTAATTGAAATGTGCGTTGCTAACAGCAGAGCTATCTCAGCCGACAGGCTGCTTGTTTATATTTTAAAATTGTAGGGCCTAATATTAAAGAAAGCTGGGACCCACAATATCTGCCCTTGTGTCCATTGCTCATGATAGAGGAAATATATTGCTTGTTAAGAATAGTGTTAATAATTATGTATACTTTGGAAAATAATAAATTGTCTCTCTTCATTGGTTTCAGGTGATTCAGAGATAAAAAAGACAGGAAAAAATGTTCAGATAAAAAATACAAAGAAGCGAAAATCTGTACCTGAGAAAACTCAACCAGTGATTCAGAAGAAAAGAAAGAGACGGGTTAGTTATGAACTTCTTTTAACACCTCACCATCTAATGTCATAAATCAGGTCACATATAAGTAAAGTCTGTCAGGATCATCAGTGAATATGAGTTCACTTGTTTGAGATATGCCAGTGTTTATTCCTAGGAGACATGTAATTACTCCTAAAAACACAAAGTTAAGGATACAGGAATAAATTTGCATCTAAATGTGTGAAAATAAGTTAGTAGTGGTTGATGTGCACATTGTGTTAGATATCACTCGCATAACCCAATATTAGCAATGGTTCACACCAAATGTGCAAAAACAATCGTGTTGTCATTTTTTTATGCAGAAAATAACTGATGCTTTGCAGCGTAAGAAACCATGTGCAGCTGATGCTGATGATTTCAATAAAATATTGAATAAAGAAGTTGAAAATCAAGACTGTAGTTGAAAGATCAGAACTGATGTTAGAAGGTAATGAAAATATT